TTTGATTCAGCGTTTCAAATTTAATAACCGTGTTCAACAGCCGGACGAGTCTCTAGAAGACTACGTTTTGTCGGTTAAATTGCAAGCTGAATTTTGTTCATTTGGTGATTTTAAGGAGTTGGCAATCAGGGACCGTATAATTGCAGGGGTTAAAGAGGTTGCATTACAGCAGATACTGCTGAATGAAGAAAACTTGACCCTGAAAGTAGCTGAGAAAATTATCACTACTTGGGAAATGGCTGGGGCAAATGCCAGAACATTGGGTGTACCCATTGCTGGTGGTCAGGCTTTGAAAAGATTGTTGACCACATATGCGGTTGAAAACCGTGAATTTGGACAAGTGGCCTCAATGAGAGGTCCTGTTAAAAGTAGGTTAGGTGGGAAGCCATACAACAAAAGTCACTCAACTGATAATTTTGCTGGAAATGATAGAAGATTGGTAGAGAGTTTTCGGCCTGGTAACTGGAGAAAAGGGCAAGATAAAAAACGACCTGACTATTCGGGTTACACGTGTGATTTTTGCGGTGTCAAAGGGCATATAAAGCGAAAATGCTTTAGGCTAAACAATTTGAGACGTGATGCCGTCAACCTGGTGAAGTCACACAAACCTGGATTCAGTGCAGATAGGCATTTAAATGAGCTGCTGAGCCGGATGACGACGCATGAATCCGATAGTGATGACGATGACGACAATAATGACACAGGTGAATTTTCTTGTATGTTAGTTTCGTCTATAAATAGAATTAGTGAACCATGTTTGGTTGATTTGACTATTGATGATAAATCAGTTACGATGGAGGTGGATTGTGGTTCGGCTGTTTCGGTAATGAGCAAAAGTCAATATTTTGCTACCTTTGGGAAACCCTTGCAAAAATGCACTAAACAATTGATTGTAGTAAACGGCTCAAATTTGAAGATCGAGGGAGAAACTACGATGGTAGTTAAATATAAAGGGATTGAGATGGAATTGAACTTATTGGTTTTAAATTGTGCTAATGACTTCATTCCCCTATTGGGAAGAACTTGGTTGGACAAATTTTTCCCAAGCTGGAGGCAATATTTTTCTAATTTATCTGTGATCAATAATATGACTGAGCATAAAAATGCAGTAAATCTCACATATCTTTCGATCATCTATTTACTGCAAGGGGTGGTCACTCTACACACTTGTTTTGCGCCAACTTTTTTCTCAGTGTACCTCAGTGTGCCGCAGCTGTACCGGCAGTGTCAAGAAGCCATTGAACTGACTTTTGATTGCTTGTGAATAATGCCTTGTTTGGCAACCCGGTATTTTAACAGCTCTTATTTTTGTTTTTTTTTTTCAATGTTTTCAAAAACGAGACGGACTACAGTTGGGACTACACACTGGATGCATCCGTCTCCAAGGATGTCTGCAACGGACGACGGACGAGCACCGTTGCTACACGATCTTTTCATCTTCGGTGGAAGGCTGACCCCGCACAACGAACGTCAATCATTAGTCAACCAACCCTTCTGGGAGCCGGCGGAGGAAATGGATTTGCACCGAATTTTTCACCGCCCGAGTATCATCCGTCGGAAAACTGGAAACCAACACCGGCCGGAACACACGTCGGACTGATGAAGGACGCACCGCTGACCCGAAACGGACCAGCCAATTTTCCAAGCTAAACTACTTGTCAGAGTCCACCAACCCGTACCAACAATCAATACGAAACTAACGATTTTAAATTGGCTCACCACTTTAGTAGCCTATTGGTCCCAAGCAAACGATTAACGTACCCTATTCTAGTTGAAATTCTATTACTACACTATGTTTGTTTTGATTCGCTATGAAAGTTTGACAGATAACATCAGGGGTGTATGGATTCATGCAGAACATGCAGGGGTGAGTGAAATAGCTTGGGACTGCTTGGGACCGTTGTTCTGGTACTGAGTGAGCCAAAAATAATAATGATTTTCTTCGGGACCTACTAGTCTTAGAGTTACCTCTATGCCCGTACACCCTACAGGACAATTCGATCAGCTTCAAGGTCTACAGCGCCTCCAAGAACAATCGCTTTCCAGGCCAGCAAAAATCGCATTCTCCACTTCTTCAATAACCCACCCGTATGCCGTCCGAAGATCTGCTGCTGACTGCATTCACCACCAAGGACTGCCACCCGTCGCAAGTGCGAATGTTCCCGCTGAAATCGGGAAGTTCCTCCTCCGGATTGGTCGAGTTCCCGAGCGTAGCCCTGGCGGTTAACGTCATCATGAAATGCAACCACAGCGCGATGATCACAAATGCTCAAAACTCCCGTTCATTATGAAGCTGTGCTTCTCCTCCTCCAAGAAGATGAACGGTGCGTGGAGTAACGAGAACACCGAAAACACGTTAGCTTTGAAAGAGCGGAAGCTTTTTTTCTGAGAAAGGAAAGGATTTTCCTTTTTCTGTGTAGTTAATGTTATGATTAGTAATTATAATTTCTTATTGTGTTAGTTGGAAGTGCAAAACGGAACGAGAGTAAAAATTTGTTGAACTATTTGAGATTTAGCCAAGACGGTCCTCCAACAGTATATGTTGGACGATGGAATGGTTGATGTAGTAGCCACCGCCATGGATGTATTCAAGCAGTTCGAATGGTCGGATGGTATAGTTTTTGTTTGGTTGTTGACTTCCCGATTAAAACTCAAGCACCGCTTGTCGTGACCGGCCCAAGATTTCCAGCGTCGACCACGGCTACACAAATTAGCGATGCACTACGAACTAGCGATGCAGCTCCCACGGCTGCGGCTGATTCCAATGCTGCTGCTGCTGTTCCTTCTGCTGGTCCGTCTCCTCTAAAATTCGTCAAAAAAGACGGACCAGCAGCAGCATTGGAAGCAGCTGCAGCCGTGGGAGCTGCATCGCTAGTTCGTGTAACCATGGCCGGAAACCTCGGTCAGGTCAAGATACCGCTGTCAGCTGTTCTTCGTATGGGAGGAAATGTGGATGCGACTGCCGTCACGGGTGTAACGATTTTGAGAATCCATGGCGAGACTTGGTGGAGATTCACGGTTGTTTTGAAAATAATTTGACTAGGAGTGGCAACGTCAATAACAAATTTTGACACATGCACACTGCACAGGCGCTGAAAAAGTTCAGTGTTGCCAGTAACTTAGAAGATCATAAAAATTGTAACCATGGGTGCCAAACAACGTCAATGACTGCACCCGGGTGTGCCCCAGTTTGATTTTGGCACACTGTGTAGAGTGACCAACCCCTTGCTTGGGACCGAAGATAGTACCAGAGCTGAGCCAAAAAGTTGAGCACGTTATTTCGGGACCTTCTGGTCTTAGAGTTACCTCTATGGGAACACTGCGGTGTCTGCCGGGGTTCCCTACGGCGAGTAGGCAATCCGGTGATTCGTCACCAACGTCGTCGGGGGGTGTGGGGGGGGGGGTACCAAAAGACGAGCCCCGCTCATAACCCCTGCTAAATGTCAAGGACCGCTGCTAGGCAGCCAAAGGTGAAGTAGGTGTAAGCGCTCAGCACAATCCGTGCTTTGTAGCAGAACCACTATAGGCTGGCAGGTAAGCCGCCACTTACAAACGTTGACAAATATTTCGACGCCGCTTGTCGTGCGGCCAACTGTTCCTTAGTTGGACCTCTGGCCTGAATTCGCGGATCTCGTGGTGACCCCGACCTGTTTTGCTTTCGACGGTTCAAAATATCACGGATGGTAGTGTAGTGGCAAGATCCACTCGGTAAAATGGATAATCCCGCTGGTAGGGCTCTCAAAGCCGAACTGAACCTGAGTGTCGCATGAGTAGAGCAGGGCATGAGCTATGTATCGAATAGAGAAAATATATTGTCTTTTTTATTGACTGTGAACCAATGAAGTCGTGTTTATTACTCACTGAAGTAAATGTCTGAAACCCATATTAGGATTATAATAGGCAGCAAGTTCTTTTTCCTGCAGGCAATCGGCGCAACAAGTACCACTATTGGTACTACCCGGCTTTCAATTACAATCTAGATTTTAGAATTGTATGTTCATATTGGGTGTACGAATAAGTGTTCTTCTTGGATTGTAATTCTGTAAATTAGAAACGCTCATGCTAATGGATGCTAACCAAAAAGCTTTCAAATGTCGATGCTTACCTAGATTAGTGTTTGTTTTTAAATTGTTGTTGTTCATGTACTGATTATAAGGTGTTCAGTTAATTTTAAGTTAATTTCAGGATTTTTCAATTCAAGCTGTGATTAAACTGTAATTTAACTGTGATTAATTTAACTTTATCTAGGATATCTACTAACAAAATTAACCAATTCGTGACTTGCTTCTGTCCTACTATTTTATCTGACGTTGTCAACTTGATAGACGTCACGACTGAAGTTAAATTGCCAGCGATACCTCCTGGAAATTTGTTTCGTTGCAGTTGCCCAAACGTGAAGCAGAAACGCAAAAACTAAGTCAAGAGTCATGCTTACTAAGGATTTCACAAGACCTTGAGGTCTGGTTAACTTCTCCTCCGTACTAAGTGTACCAGTTACTACGTACAAGACGCAAATAAGACCGATAATTCTCTACGAGCACGAAACGTGGACAATGCTGGAGGAGGACCTGCAAGCACTGGGAGTTTTCGGAAGACATGTGCTTAGGGCCGCTTTTGGTGTGGTGGCTGTCGCAACTCTATGGTGAACCCAGTATCCAGAAAGTCGCTAAAGCTGGAAGGGTACAACGTTGTAAGAATGCCGGACAACAATCCCAACAAAATGGTGTTTGCGTCAAATTCGGGACAAGACGCAAAGGAGTGCAGCAAACTAGCTCTGGTTAGACTAAGTGGAGCAGGAAGTTTGGGATCTAGGAAGTTTGGGACGCTCAAGAAACTGGAGACAAGCAGCCATGAACCGAGTTTGTTGGCGCAACATTGTAACGCAAGTGAAATCCTGAAGGACGTCGAACCATTAAAAGTAAATTTTTTTAGTGATTATTGTGTGTCGAAACTATTTGAACCACTATTAAAAAAACGACGGATCCAGAATAACGAAAGTTATAATATTTTGGACAGCAACCTTATTTCATCCTGTGCACATAATCATTTTGTGTAGGGCCACCTAGCACGTGACATTTATTTTGACAGTATTGATTTTAAATTATTTTTTTTTTCGATGAGCTCACAAAGCGTCCTTTCATAATCTCCTGATGTTTCACTCTGAAATAATAAGGAAAGAATCCATTTGAATAATGTTACAATTGCCATTCACAGTCTTACCTTTACGGCATTTGCCAAAGTTTTACCATACATCCGTTCAAATTCCTCCTTAATATTCTCCAAATCGATTTCCGCTCGCGAAACTATGATCCGGATTAGGGCAGCATCATCTGTGCCCAAGCCACGCATCGCTTCATACAATCGCCTCGCAAAGAATCGTGCCGGACTGCGAACGTATTCGACAATGGCACTGAGTGCTTCGTAGTACTTTCCACTTAGCTCGGCCTTCAATGCTTGTTCGATGGCTCGATCCGTCAGTTTCTTGTATTCCTCAAACAATAGCTCCAAATGCTCAAAACCTGACTTTGTAAGTATCTTACTGAACGTAGATTCCTCTGTGCCCCATTTACCTTCACCGGCTTCGTATAGCAGTTTGGCTTGTTGCTCTACCAAATGTCGATCAACCGAACGCGGTGGATCACGCGTCGTAGTAAGCAACAAAGTGAGTAATCGCCTGAAATCTCCGGATGTTTCCGAGCACACGTGCTCCACCAGAGGTCTATTAAACATCTCTTCGTACAGTTTTGCAATTAAAGGGCGTCCACGATGAAATTGCCACACTATGAAATTGCTCTAACTTTTTAACCGTTGGGTAGAATTTAATGAAAATTTGGGTGGATTTAGTTCATAGTGCATTATTTACATCCTGCAAGTTTTAAAGTCCTGTGATCAAAACTCGCGGAAATGGAGTCGAAAGAACAGCTCGTGCGTGATAAAATCTTGCGCATTCATCACGAGAACAAGGATCTCTCGCATTGTTCCATCGCTAAAACGTTGGGAATCGCGAATTCCACGATGTCGCGAGTGATTAAGCGGTTCTAGGAACGGTTGACCACCGATCGGAAGCCCAGAAGTGAAGGAAAAAGTATTCCGTACAACACCAAAAATCACAACCGCGTAGTTGGGGCCTTCAACCGAAATCCGAACGCCTCCGTTAGGGATGTGGCTAAGAAGCTGCACCTAAGCCGAAGTTTTGTCCAGAAGGCCAAAACTAAGGCTGGGCTTCGAACGTTGAAGGTACAAAAGGCCCCTAATCGCGACGAGAAGCAGAACAAGTCCGCCAAAACCCGTGCCAGGAAGTTGTACTTCAACATGCTGACGAAAGTTGAATGCTGCATCATGGACGACGAAACATATGTGAAGGCCGACTTCAAACAGATATCCGGCAACCTGTTTTTCACGGCCAAGGATAAGTTCAGCGTTCCAGAGCATGTCCGCACTCAGAAGATGTCCAAATTTGCGAAGAAATTCCTGGTTTGGCAAGCCATCTGCACGTGCGGGAAGCGGAGTGCACCTTTCGTGACCCAGGACACGATGAACGGACAGGTGTACATAAAAGAGTGCCTCCAGAAGCGGCTGCTTCCTCTCCTGAAGGCCCACAACGTCCCAACAATCTTCTGGCCGGATTTGGCCTCATGCCACTACTCCAAGGACGTGCTGAAGTGGTATGCGGACAATAAGGTCAATTTCGTGCCGAAAATGTTCAACCCTCCCAACACTCCGGAGCTCCGCCCCATCGAGAAGTACTGGGCGATTATGAAGCAGCACCTTCTTAAACGACCTAAGGTAGTGAAGACAGTCGAGGAACTGAAGAAAGTATGGGTTTACATGCAAAAAACGGTTGATTCACAGGTTGTGCAGAATCTTATGGCCGGGGTTAAGGCCAAGGTGCGGGCATTTGCGTATGGACTGTAAATAAAATACGAGTAAAATGGTAAAATGAAGTTTAATAGTTATTTCTCAATCCCTGAAAATTTGATGGCAATCGGATGAAAACTCGAATTTTGCGAATCAATTTTGTGTGTGGCAATTTCATCGTGGACACCCTTTAGTTGCAATTGCTGACTCTCTTGCGAGCACAGTATTTCAATGAGCGTGCATTCGTTTGTACCAAATCCGTCCATCGCTTTGAACAGTTGGTCACACAGGTAGTTCATCGGTGGCAACATCAGTCCGCGGATTAGATTTCCCAAATTACCGGAAAGCTCTGATTTCAGATCATTTAGAAGATCACGGCCAAGTTCTTCGTTAAACTTGGTAGCAATTGTTTGACGCTGCGAGTTAGAACGAGCACAAAGAATGCTTATGATAGTCTGTTCGTCCGTTCCGAATCCCTTCATGGCTGCACGCAAGGCGGTGGCATCCGCTGAGGCATCGAAATCAACGGCAGGAAGAATGGTTGGTCTGGGCTGCGATGGAAGAGATAGGATTAAATTAAAATGTTAAGTTATCTGTACACACACACACACACACACACGTGTTGCACTAGATTCAGCGCATTACGATTTCGTAAACCATGAATGAATGATTATGTTCACACATTGTATTTTGGCTATGCCTAAATTTAGAACAATGATTCAAACTGTTTTAAGCTAATGCGTTTTGAGTGGTTGAAATTGACCTGTTTACTTACTGTGTATTTAAGCGGCATTTTCAAACACTTGTTCCCGATGGTCTTTCTGCAATACCTATTCGAGAAATAAGTTTTTTTTTTTTTTATATAATTACTTTATTTGTACAGGCTCAATCGAATAAACTTTACAGAGCCGAGTTATCCTTTGCGTTATACATTATTACTGTCTTAAATTTAAAGTTAAAGGAACTGGACCGAGTACTCGCGGTTGTCTCGAGGTTAGTGGAGATTTACAATTTTTTGGATGGGAAAAGGGAAGAAGGAGGTTTGAAATGTGGTTTACGATACAACTATTTAATTAATCCTAAAGCATGAAATTATTTCTATTCATCTTGAAAACAAACATTGAAAAAAAAAACCCACACGTACAAAATACAAACTAAACACAAGGTTAATCAAACTTACAATCTAAGGTTAATATCCTTAAAGTAAACATATATGAGTTTCATAAACTCCAGATCGCGTCTAGCCAAAATATCCCGAACTGGAACATTAGGTTGTCTACCTCGAGCCCGAAGGGAATCATAAAAATGTGATCTGACTCCACGATACTCCACACAAGACCAAAGGATGTGATCAGCGTCCTGGTAACCTTGTCCACATTCACAGAGATTGCTGTCTCCCAACCCCACACGGAACAAGTGAGCGTTTAGACAATAGTGATTGGACATGAGACGAGACATCACGCGTATGAAGTCTCGACTCAAGTCCAACCCTTTGAACCATGCAAACTTCGACACCTTAGGGATAATTGAATGTAGCCATCGTCCCAAGCTCCCTTCACTCCATTGATGTTGCCAGCTAACGAGCGACTGCTGACGATAAACAGAGAAAAATTCACTATAGGCGATCTGTCGATCATAAATGTCGCCTTCCATAGCGCCCACCTTCGCAAGTGAATCCGCCTTCTCATTGCCCAAAATTGAGCAATGCGAAGGGACCCACGCGAAGGTGATGATGAAAGAGCGCACGGATAAAGCACTAAGCAGTTCTCGTATTTTCAAGAGAAAATACGAGAAGTGCTTTACCGGCCTAATGGAACGGATAGCCTCGACAGAACTGAGACTATCCGTAAAAATAAAGTAGTGGGCTGGAAGAAGTGAAGCAATAGTTTCCAAAGTGTAGTGAATTGCTGCCAGTTCAGCCACATACACAGAACAAGGAGCTTCAAGTTTTCGAGAGGCGCTATGAAATTCATTAAATACACCAAAACCAGCGGACTCCTCTATTAGAGATCCATCTGTGAAAAACGTTCTTGCAGAATCAATATGGCCAAACTTTGCAGCGTATAATGACGGAGCAATCATAGGACGATGATGCTCTGGAATTCCGCGGATTTCCTGTGTCATAGATAAATCAAAATTCACTGGATTGCCGAAATCGGAGAAGATTACACGATTGGGAATATTTCTTGAAGGGCTGACATCCTGTGTTAAATATAGGTAGTATAAAGTCATAAAACATGTTTGAGGATTTAGCTCCAGAAGCTTCTCAAAATTTTCGATCACCAGTGGGTTCATTACTTCGCAACGGGTGAGGAGCCTCAGAGATAACTCTGAAAAACGGACGGATAGTGGCAACATGCCCGCCAGCACTTCGAGACTCATAGTATGAGTCGAGTGCATGCATCCTAACGCGATACGAAGACAACGATACTGGATCCGTTCCAGCTTGATGATGTGCGTTTTAGCTGCCGACTGGAAGCAAAAACTACCGTACTCTAAAACCGATAAAATCGTTGTCCGGTACAACGTCAGAAGATCTTGTGGATGGGCTCCCCACCACGTTCCGGTAATTGATCGAAGGAAATTGATCCTTAGTTGGCATTTTCTTCTCAGATACTCAATGTGGGATCTCCAGGTGCATTTGGAATCGAACCAGACCCCGAGATATTTAAAAGACATGGAATGAGTGATCGGTTTACCCAAAAGTTGAAGCTTCGGTTGTGCTGGGCTATGCTTCCTAGAAAAAACGACCAACTCAGTTTTCTCCGTGGAGAATTCGATACCTAGCTGAATTGCCCAAGTAGACAAATTGTCCAAGGTATCCTGTAAGGGTCCTTGCAGGTCAACCTCTTTTGGCCCTGTGATAGACACTACGCCGTCATCTGCAAGTTGTCTCAACGTGCAATTGTCACTAAGACAGACATCAATTTCTCTAACGTAGAAATTGTACAAAAGGGGGCTTAAACATGAGCCTTGGGGGAGACCCATGTAGCTAAATCGAAAAGCTGTAGAGTTTCCATGAGAAAAGCTCATATGTTTTTCTGACAGCAAATTGTACAAAAAATTATTCATTAATGGAGACAATCCACTAGCGTGGAGTTTCTCTGAAAGAACTTCAACGGATACTGAATCAAAAGCCCCCTTGATATCCAAGAACACAGAAGCCATTTGCTCTTTCTTAGCAAAAGCCAACTGAATTTCCGAGGAAAGCAACGCGAGACAGTCGTTCGTTCCCTTACCCCTACGGAAACCAAATTGAGTATCTGAAAGAAGGTGGTTCGTCTCAACCCATTTGTCGAGGCGAAAAAGGATCATTTTCTCCATCAATTTCCGAATACACGACAGCATCGCGATGGGCCGATACGAATTGTGATCCGACGCGGGTTTATCAGGCTTTTTAATGGCTATCACCCTCACTCGTCTCCAATCGTCGGGAACAATATTGAGCTCCAAGAACTGATTGTACAAGTTCAACATGCGTCTCTTAGCGACGTCTGGGAGGTTTTTCAGCAAGTTGAACTTGATTCTATCAGATCCCGGGGCAGAATTGCCACACGAAAGGAGAGCGAGGGAAAGTTCCACCATTGAAAAAGGGTGACTGATTTCGTCTACCGAATTCGCGGTTTCGCGAGGAATCAACTGCGACGGCGCGGAATCCGGACACACTTTTCGCGCGAATTTAAGAATCCATTGATCCGAGCATTCCTCGCTTTCGTTGTTAGTAGACCGGTTACGCATTCTTCGCGCCGTACTCCAAAGCGTATTCATAGACGTTTCGCGCGACAATCCGTCTACAAACTGCCGCCAGTAACCCCGTTTTTTGGCCTTGATGAGGCTCTTGAGTTCGCGTTCAAGAGATGTGTATGCGTCGAAATGCTCGCGTGTTCCGCGTTTCCGAAAAAGTTTAAACGCGTCGGACTTTTTACGGTAAACCTCCGTGCATTGTTGATCCCACCAGAGCGATGGTGTTTTCTTATGAATAGACGATCGCGGCACCGGTCGTGTTTGAGCTTGAAGTGCGCTGTCGACGATGAGATTAGAGAGGAAATTATATTCCTCCAACGGCGGAAGCTCTTCCACTGACGATACTGTATCGTCTATCGCGGATTGGAACTTAGTCCAATCAATGTTACGGGTTAGATCATACGCGACGTTAACGGATTCTGACGAGTTGAACCCACTGGCAATCGAAATTTTGATCGGCAGATGATCACTACCGTGCGGATCCTGGATTACATGCCAAGTGCAATCCAACGATAGTGAATTAGAGCAAAAGGTGAGGTCTAATCTGCTACCATTCGAGGATGGACCAGCCAAACGTGTTACTTCTCCATTGTTAAGTATTGTCATGTTGAAGTTGTCGCAGAGATCATAAATCAAAGTAGAACGGTTATCATCGTACAGCTCCCCCCAGCCTGTACCGTGGGAGTTAAAATCTCCCATGATCAACCATGGAGCGGGAAGTACCGCACATATGTCGAAAAGTTGTTTGCGATTAACAGAGACTCTAGGAGCAATATATACAGAAGCAATACAAAGGCTCTTACCTTTAATGGTAGCCTGACATGCGACAACTTCAATACCGGGGAATTCGGGAAGATTCACTCTATAGAAGGAATGGCACTTTTTGATCCCCAAAAGTACCCCTCCTCCACGTGAATCCTCACGATCCAATCGAATAATGTTAAAATCAAAAAAAGGGAGATCAATTTCTGAAGAGAGCCATGTTTCACAGAGGGCAAATGCATCGCAATTATTGTTATGGACTAAATACTTGAACGAATCTAATTTCGGAATAAGACTTCGACAATTCCACTGTAGAACAGTGATCAAATCCCCGACCTCGTTTGGAAAATTATCCATCGAAGGAGATGATAGCTGCAAGAAGGGGCCATTTTGAAGTCAATTGCTTCAAGAAGGATTTCACAGTCGGAAGCAATGTGAGGACAATGCTTTTCAGAGGATCAGAAATGTTGAGGTATTTGAGAATACCGTCCACAATGTCATCAGATGAAGAAGGGGTTTCTGTTCTTAAAATTGGGGCATCAGGGGTTTTGGATGTCCCCGGAAGAGGTGGAAAATCCTGGGTATAATCAGTTCTGCGGAATCCAGGAGGAGTAGAAGTCTCCTTTTTTCCACCACTCCTTGATTTGGGCAAGCTGATTTGGGGTTCTTGATCTGCAACTTTCCGCGAACGGATGCGTTTTCGTTTCCGGGCAGAACCTTCCGGAAAACTGAAAGAAACTCCCTCCTCAGCCAAGTCAGAGCCAGACTCGTCATCTGACAAAAGAGCGAAGGGATTTGTTTCGTTGGTCGATGGCTTGGCTGTCTTAAGCATTTCTGCAAAAGACCGCCTGGAACGTTCCTTAAGGGAGCGTTTCATTTTGTCCCCGAGCTGTTTGTACGCCGGGCACGACGAGAGAGCATGAGGAGGAGTTCCGTTGCAGTACACGCATTTTGGTGCAGTAGCTGCGCAGGCGCCATCCTCATGTTTCTCCCCGCATGTGGAGCAGCGTGCCTTGTTGCCGCAGTGGGAGGCCGTATGTCCCAACCGCTTACAATGCTGGCAGTTCATGACCCGAGGTACAAACAACCGCACAGGAAGACGAAGTTTTCCCAGCTCGATGTATTGAGGAAGGGCAGATCCAGAAAAGGTCACCCGAAACGAGTCTGTGGGGGTAAAACTCTTTTTACCCTCGCTGAGCGATACTGACTTCATTCTATGAACGGCCAGTATCTTTACCGGAGGAAGCAAGGGGTTCTTGAATCGGCCAACCGCTTGCTTCTCCAGTATCTCGGGGTTCAGGCTCGCCTCAGTGACCACGCCTTCGATCTCCACATCAGAGGCTGGAATGTACACCCTATATTCCAGTGTGAAAAACTGGGAAACAGCAATTTCATTAGCCTGTTTCAGGTTAGCGACGGTCACACGAAGTTTGTTGTGCCTAACCTTCGTTATTTCGGTCACGGCAGAGAATCGCTTTGTCAGATCATCAGATATCTGAACAACATTCAAGGGTTTGTTTTTGGGCTGAAAATAGACAACCCATGGGCCAGTCGAGTCATTCAGGTAGGCCCGCAATCTGGAGTTTTTCTCAGCCTGCCCATTGACAGACTGAGACGACGAACCAGGGATGACATCATCATTTTTCTTAGATGAATGGTCATCCATGTCGTCTTCTGACAAAACATCCATTTTGTTCAACTAGTGGGAGCGCAAAACGCTCTCCCACTGAACGCACAGACACAATACACAGAAAACACTACAAACACAGAAATACAAAATGAAAATTTAACTAATGGGGGAGGAAAAGAAACAAAAAAAAAACAAAAACTTATCTGATAATCCTATACTACTACCACTGAGCGTTATATGTGTAGGCGTTTACACAGATGGCTGGAAGAGACGCGCTGCGTGGATGACCTTCGTTGTGGTGCACTTGATCGAGGCTCGGTACTCAGCGCACACAGGCGCACGATGATTGATGAACGATGTAGATGTAGAAACGGGTGCTCACACTCGATGATGATGATACGTGAGCGGCTATGCGTGAGCGCGTATGCGTGACCACGCAACGATGATGCCCAAATTGGTTTGCGAATTACCAATAGCACGGATTAATCGTTCCGAAAATGACACTTTCTACTTAAAAAAAAACTCACTTTTCGATCAATTTACCGGGAACTATGCCAGGAGTCACTTAGTGAGAAAAAACTGATAATTTATATCAAGCGAATACCGAGAAAACTTCCAAAACAACGGAGCGCGAAACAAGTCGACCGTACTTCTTGCTAGGACGCAGTGGTATGGGGGAAATAAGTTGGTCACTACTTTTTCATTACACCTTATGGATTAGGTTACAGTTTACTGTTCTGTAGAGCTTTATGTATTGTCCCAAAATACAGCTTTGCTCATATTTCGCTACCGCTGAATTTCTCTTCCCGCAGACAGAGTCGAAAATGTTTACGTTTCACACTAATTAATGCGTTCGACTGTAAGTGTGAGATTTTGACGGGTTTGCGCAGTGTGAGCCATGTGCAGAGAACGTCTACCGTTGACAAAAACTGCTACGCGACACCAAAAGTGCAGGGCTGTGCAGTATGAGTCGAAGTCTCATACGCATTTGTTAGCATAAGGAGTCGGAGTTGCAGAAAAAATAGCGACCCCGAATCCGAGTCCGACTGCAACTGTTATAAAAAAAATCAAATGTGTTCTCAGGAGAGTTTCAATTATGACGATAACTTAACGGGGATGCATGATTTCAAAAAGCAAAGTATGTTCAATGTGTCATCTGACATGCTGTAGTGCATTTTAGGCTGTGAACCATTTGCCGAGGTAAAATTAACTCGTGGTTAAAAGTGACATTTCGAAAGTTATTTTCTATGTTCGAAAATCCCTGTGCTGTCGATCGACCGGTTTTCGAGCCACGGTTGTCAAAATTTAACTTCTTGTTTGTCAGAAATAACCATGCTCAGATAGCAGGGTTAATCGATAACTTTCCATCTGTCAAATTTTAACCAAAAGTTAAAATGATCCACCAAATGGTTCAGAGCCTTAGTAGCGAAGTTTCCAGACACAGAGAACGCTCTCTCTGAGTCTACCGATGTGGGGCGAATTGTTGCAAGTGCATCGTAGAGTGTCGACAAATATTTTCCTTTTAACTTCTCAGATTCGCAATTTTACCCTTGCACTGAACTGGCCGGCTTGACGTGCCGCAAAGCCTCAGTAAAGCTGAGTTTAGACTAGGCAAGTCAAATGATCAACCCAGTTGAATTCAATTGGCTAGAAAAGTTGAGCCTAGTTCAACTTTTTTTCAATTCAAGTGAGTTGATCAAGTCAGTTGAATGGCATGGTTTACACGTTCAATTCGCGTTCAAGGCAGTTGAATTCAACTGACTTGATCAATTGAATTGTCTAAACCCAGCTTAAGGGTTCTTACTTGTAGAGACCTGAAGCTAAGTGCTAATTCCATAGCGGCAATATCATATCATTAAGTTTTCCCAAATCGTTGTACTTATTTATTTATTTCTTATTTATTTGTCTGCATCAACAGGCTGTGTAAAGCCCCAATGATGATTTAAGTAACTTATATAGGTAAAAATCAAATCAAAAAATAAAAACTAAGAATAAAATACATAAATAAAACACACAATCATTCACGGTTAACTGTGCCAGAAAAGAACGATGAGAAGTATCTTCGTAGCAGCTGTCGAGGCATATGGAAATCGAAGATGCCCGAGACTCGATTGAACACTCGTTGCAGCCCACCTATTGCACCGTTTATGCCATAGTTTGTGCGCTGAAGTGGCAATCTCAGCATAACGTTGTTACGTAGCGCACGGGGTTGGACGTTAATGTTGACTTGCCCCAAGATTGCACTGCAATCAATTCTACCTTGTAAAGTGTCCGCAATGAACAGGGCCCTAGAGGTGTCTCTTCTAGTTCGGAGAGGCTCCAGATCAATCAGCTGGCAACGACTTTCATAGCTGGGCAGATGAAATGGGTCTCTCCAAGGCAGCTTCCGCAGAGCGAATCGAAGAAAACGGCGTTGAACGGACTCAACTCTCTCAGCACCATTGTTGTAGTTTGGACTCCAGACCACAGAACAATATTCCAGAATGGATCGCACTAAGGAACAGTACAGTGACTTCAAACAGTAGATATCGGAGAAATTCTTTGCTATCCTGAAGATAAATCCCAACGTCCTAGACGCCTTGTCGACAACGTACGAGATGTGCTGCTTGTACGTAAGTTGAGAATCTAGAATAACACCCAGATCTTTCACATGGTTCACACGGTCGATTACAGTGCCGATAAGTTTGTATTCAAATGTGATTGGTTCTTTCTTCCGAGTAAAAGTGATCACTGAACACTTAGTGGGGTTAACCACCATTCGGTTCAAATTACACCAGCTGGCAAAGGCTTCGAACTGACGTTGAAGGAAGTGACAGTCATCAATCGAGTGGATTCGTAGGTAGATTTTAAGATCGTCTGCATACGATAGTCGTGGGCCTTCGATGACCAAGTTCACGTCATTGAAGTAGAGTAAGAAAATCAAAGGTCCCAGGTGACTTCCTTGAGGTATTCCTGACGTAGCTAGATATATATTGGACCGGTTGTCACCAATGGCAACCATCAGTTGCCGATCAGTGAGATATGAACGAAACCATCGCAAGAGGTTGCCGCTGACCCCAAGTCTATGCAACTTGGCAATCGCGATGGCATGGTTTAGCTTATCGAAGGCAGCTGACAAGTCGGTGTATATGACGTCTGTTTGAGTCCTCTCTGCCATGCTTTCCGTAAGATACGATGTCAAACACAGTAGATTTGTGGAAGTTTGTACGACCGGAAGTGAAGCCGTGTTGATCACCACTTAGATACTGCTTACAATGAGAGAGTAGAGGCTCCATGATGACTAACTCGAATAACTTCGAAACTGCGCTCAACGACGTAATTCCACGATAATTGTCCACATCCCGTTTGCTGCCCTTTTTGTGGATAGGAAACATATGTGCGAATTTCCAACAAGATGGAAATGTACCACTCGAGATGGACAATCGAAATAGGTGAAGCATGCGCATCAGCAAGCTGGCGATATGCTTTTTCAGGAATACGGATGGAACGCCATCGGGTCCTGGATTGAAGGACGACTTGAGTTGTGATGCGGCAGTGGAAATCATCTCGACGTTGACATCCATCGCACCCAGTGTTTGACCGTACAGTGGAACATTACTAGCTGCTAGGGTAACGTGTTCGTCAGTTAATCCCTCATTCGTGAAAACACTGGCGAACTTCTCAGAAAACAAGCGACAGATCTGCTGAGAAGTGGATGCAACTGCTCCATTCAACACCATTGAAGAAGGTAGGCCGGATTCCTTGCGCTGCTCATTTACGTAATTCCAGAATGACTTCGGGTGCGACTTGAGTTTCCTCTGAATCCCTCGTTGATATCGCGAATAGCATCGACGGCTAACTCGCTTGAACTCATAATTGAGCCTAACGTAGTGACGTTTCAGCGAAAGCGTACGATACTTAGTGAATTTTCTTAATGCGGCTCTCTTGGTCGACTTCAACCTACGCAGTTCACTCGTCTGCCAGGGAGGATGAGAAATTTTACGGTGAACTCTTTTCGGAACGTGCCTGTCAATGACATAAGCCAAGACATGTGAAAATGTTTGCGCAGCGGTTTCAACATTATCAGGATCTAGGATGCTCTCCCAATCTAAACTAGATAGCACGTTGACGATACTACGGTGATCGGCTTTCCGGAAATCGTATGACACGGTCGTGGAAATGTCGTCAAAGACCCGATCGTGATTGTCAGCAACAGTGACAACCAAGGGAGGGTGATGATGTACTTGCTTTACTAGTGGAGAAGGTGCCGTGGAGATGAAAGGAGCGGTGTCCTGAACGCTAACGAAGCAGAGGTCCAGGCTACGGTTGTTTTCATTGACTACGTGGTTTATTTGAGATAGTGTTGCTGTACTATAGCAGTCGAGAAGGCTAACTGATCCTGTATGAAATACAGAGTGTACAGGGTCTGGGTAGAGAAAGCCGCTGTAAGATGGTTTCCAGAAAACACCGGGTAGATTGAAGTCGCCCAGAACGATTATCTCATCAGTTGGTGTCGCACTCTCCATTATGGTGAAAACGGACCGGCAATGGGTATCGATAAGTTCGTTGTCACGAACCCGGTCAGGTGCAATATACACCGCACATAGGTACAGTGTGCGATCGCTCAGTTCTACGGCCACCCAAACTTGTTCCACACAGTTCCACAAGACGTTTTCAATAGCTCTCGCCTTTAACCCGGAACGAACTGCCACGAGAACACCACCTCCAGTAGATTTCCGACTGTTTTTCGGATTTCTGTCACAGCGGAAAACCTCGTATTCGGATCCGAACACCTGGATGGAAAGCGTTCGAGAATCGAGCCAAGTCTCGACAAAAACGATGACATCGTAGCACCGGTCCCATACAGCTAGGTGGTAGTCAAGAACACCAGAAAACATTCCGCCTACGTTTTGGTAGTAGAAAATGACGTCGTGTTTACTACGGTCGGTGGTCGCACGAGGTAAGGCGTTTTCCCTGGAAGTCATGGAAATATCAGGTGGCGAATGGACATGAACAAGTGGATACTCGCCGTAGTGAGTAGGTTGGAAGACCCCCTCTCCACATCCAACCACAGGCCCGGAACGACTATGAAGATCGGAGGCGGCAGATGGCAGAACTGGGTCAGAGGGATTGGGGGCTTCCACAATGCTTTCTACAGCGCGTCCCAGGTTCCAATTAACAGGAGTAGAAGCATTTCCTCGGTGACATCCAGAGTGCTGAAATTCGACTCGGCATCAGGCAGTGAATGTTCAGAATAATATTTGTACTTGCCTGACATAGCAAGTTGGAAGACCCTCGATCCACATCTAAGCTCAGGGCCGGGACGACATTGATGTACGCTGGCAGGAATCGGCACGACTGAGTTAGAGGAACCGAGGACTTCCCAAGTGCTTTCTACGGTGCGTCCCGGTTGAAAATACTCATCGTTCGTTCCTGCGATGCGTCTACTTGTCCGAAGTGCAGCAGCAACAGGATTCACTTCATCATGGTCCGGACAGCTAATGATAACCTGGGTGCGGGAAAACTCGTCACGCAACGAAAAGCTCGAATCAAAACAGTACTTGCCTGTGCAAGCATGGTGGAAGACTCCCTTTCCACCACCAACCACAGCACCGAGACGGCTGTGATGAACGGAGGCTGCGATATGCCGGACTGGGTTGGGGCGATTGGGAGCTTCCATCAGACTTTCTACGGTGCGTCTCGGTTGAATTTCTGGAAGTATAAGCTGTCACTCCATAGGGGCAGCATTCGTCAATTGGGTGATTTTCAAGCTTCGTGAATCTTCGAACTCACGGAACTGGATACTCTCAGGCCAAGAGTCGCA